GGACACAATCACCAGGTAACTGTGCCCGTGGCGGGAGGATGGTCAGGGTGAGAAGTAACCCACAAGGGCTCTTTCTGTCCCTGCACTATACATTGTATTTGATGCGTATGCATAGGGTACAGACTTACCCAGGGTGATCATTCAGAGTGACAGCAAAGAGATGCAAAGAGTTTAAAATAACACCTAAGCAGGCAATACAATCACATGTAAAACTTAGCATCCTTGAAGAGGGGCAAGGACTCCCTCCACGTGGGCTACTGCCACCCAGGAATGAGATCCCAGAGCCTTTCAGAGGCTCCCCTGGGTATGTGATCACACCACAGTGGAGGGCAAGGAAGGCAAAGAACCTCCCCTGCATCCACGTGGACGGTGATGGGTATGGAGGAGCCCCTGGTTTGGGAGGGCTCATGGGAACATGAGGCCATGACATGAAGTCACGGGTGATACAGAGAAAGCCAATGGGGAAATTAGCAACGTATCACTCACAGCCTACGTAGGTGACAGAGCCTGGGAACATGCCAGGTCTCTGAATCACCGGGATTCGTGCAACCTCAGCCCTGGCAGGGCTGGGTGTTCCCAGCCACATCATCTGAGTGCTGAGGCAGCCTTTTCCCCAGAGCAGGCGGTGGTGGAAGCATCATGGAGCAGCCTGCTGTGGCTGTAGGCAGTTGCCCAGGGTCCAAGTGGTGGCTGGATGTCCTCAGCACCATGGGGAGCAGGGCAAAGTGGCTTGGAGGTAATGAGACGGCACATCGTCCGTGAGCTCCTGTAGTCCTGCACAACCATTTAAAAGCCTCGCCCAAGTTTGAATGATTTAAATCACTTCAGGCTATTTAATCATCGCATAAGCAGACGTAGTTTAAAGACTAATTTGTAGACTTAATGTCAGTTAGAGTAGCTTGGTGGGCTGTATAAGGAGCTAGTTATGCCATGATAAGCTTTCAATGGAGACAAAGGCCCAGGCAGCAAGACCTCGAGCACAAGGGAGCCCAAGCCTTGCATTAAGCACCAGTTTAGGAGGTAAGAAGAGCCATCAGAAAACTCCCTGCAGTCTGGCACTCTCCTGCCTTCACACATTTCTGCTGCGTGCAAATACTCCTCCAGGAAATTTAGAATTAGCGCTGGTGCTAAATTACCCTGGAAGAGAGCATCTTTAGTGCAGGTTATTGCTGGAGAGGGTAACGTCCCTTCTCAGGGCTTGATGTGCAGAGCAGCACCTGGGTCACAGGCCACCTCACGTGAAGAACACATCCCTCCCATTTTACCAGGTCCTTCCTAGAGACTAGGCAGTTCTCTGTTCCTTTGGCAGCTTTCAGACCCTCTCCTGCGGTGGTTTCTGGTCTGTTTGCCGCTGCAGGTAAACTCAGGCTGTATGAGAGGGAGAACAGAGGATAAGTCCCGCTCCCTGAGCTCAAATCACCTTCAACATGGCTTAAGCAGTTCATCTTGAACCAACCTAAGAGCTTGCCAAACAGACTTCATCTCAGCCTGAGCTCTGCCCTATCACTGAGGGGCACTTGCTGTCTGGGTAGCAGGAGGATGGTTGAATACCCAGTTCCATGCCTATGGGATAAGCCTACTTAGAGGTAGTACAGGGCTAGCCATGTAGCTACCACATTGCTGCTTTTAGCCCAGTTCTTTCCATTTCACCTTTGTGAACCTCCTCTTTAAGCTCTTAAGTGTCTATGGGGCAAGTTGTCTTTGAAATGACAGGTCACAGCTCTAAAAGCTCTAGATGATGCCCTGTCTAGGGGTAATACTGTAATAAATGCAATCTTTCTGGCAGCAGCAAGAGAGCAATTAAGGAATCCCTTCTTTCTAAGGATCCTTGCAAACATCGCTAGTTTCTGGCCAGAAACCTGGAAAAATATAGCCAAACCAGCCTGGGCAGTCAAGGAACTATCCTGCCCTGCAAGCCTTTCCCCACCATTCTGCCTCTGGTCTCCTTCTTCCACTGCCATGCTCCAGCTCTTCTTCCCCTACTTCCCTTCCCAGCTATTCTTCCCCATTTGTGAACAAAGAGACTTAAGATAACAGTATTTCACTGAAAGGTAGAGAGGCAAGGGAAACAGGAAAGCAGATGATATAACAATAAACAACCATACATCCAAAGTACACAGAGAAATGGTCAGCTCTCCCTTTCTCTTTGCTTTACTGGGGGCCCCTAGGACAGCTGGCTATTGCCTCCGTCCTGCAGTGTTGAACTGAGCTCAGTTTGGTCTCAAGCTTCAGGCTATGCATTTCTCCCAGGCAGCAGCCTCTCTGCTCTTGTGAGACCTCACTTGGAGCACTGTGTGCAGTTCTGGTGTCCTCAACATAAAGAAGGACATGGAGCTCTTGGAGCAAGTCCAGGGGAGAGCCATCAGGATGATCAGGGGACTGGAGCACCTCCCATATGGAGACAAGCTGAGAAGGCTGGGGCTGTTCAGCCTGGAGAAGAGAAGGCTGCATGGAGACCTCCTAGCAGCCTTCCAGTATCTGAAGGGGGGCTATAGGGATGCTGGGGATGGACTCTTCATTAGGGACTGTAGTGACAGGACAAGGGGTAACGGGTTAAAACTTAAACAGGGGAAGTTTAGATTGGATATAAGGAAGAAGTTCTTTCCTGTAAGGGTGGTGAGGCACTGGAATGGGTTGCCCAGGGAAGTTGTGAATGCTCCATCCCTGGCGGTGTTCAAGGCCAGGTTGGACAGAGCCTCAAGCAACATGGTCTGGTATGAGGTGCCCCTGCCCATTTTTAATGCACAGTATATAACAGCATTTGTGCTGAGCTGAGGTCTTAAAGTCATGGAGTGACAGGAATGTGACCCAGGAACAGGAGTGCTTGTGGACCTCCAGTTTTCCATCGCTGGGTTCAATTTGTATTCAAGCAAGAGTGGCAGAGGAGAGCCTCAGAGCAGAAGCATGGGGACGTGCGTTTCTGGCCGCATTGCCTGATGAATGATGTGGTGCCAGGCAAGGGACAAGCTGTTCCCCTGCTCATTATTGTTACCAGATGAGTGCGGGACTTTTACAACTGCTGGTTTGGGGTAATCAAATGCTGATTGCAACAGAGGGAGGAGGGCTGCGCTCCTCACCCCTCCTGTGGCCTGCACTAGGCAGGGAGGGCTGGCAGGCACAGCCCCCTGCCCTCTCCCGCAAGGCTTTGTTCCTAAGGGTGATGCGCAGCAGCCTGGACATGACTGTGGATCCCGATCCCACCCCCCCACGATGCCCCGCTCTGTCTGGGGTTATTGTGCGATGCCCAGAACAATATGTTGTGGTTAAGCATGCCTGGGAGAGCACTGGGAGGCTCCCTGCTCCCCCTGTCTCTGCTAGTGCTGGGGGGAGGCAGCTTTTAGCCATCTGGTAGCTGTGGGTTTGGTGGAGGTCCCACAGCAAGGGAGAAGGATCAGTCACCAGTCCTGTTCCTAGACAGGAAGGCCAGCGTTTGGCAGTGACTCAGCTCCAGATGCACTGTGTGTCTTGGGCACAGGGTGCCTTTGGGCACTGTAGGATCACAGGATGGCTCATGTGGGAAGGAACTGCAGGAGGTCTCCAGCCCAACCTCCTGCTTGTGCAGGGCCAGCTCTGGGGTCAGACCAGGCTACTCAGTCAGGTCTTGGGAACCTCTGATGTTGGAGGCAGCACAGCCTCTCTGGCATCCTGGAGCAGTGCTGAACTGTCCTCGTACTGGGAATGTGTTTCCTCATATCCAGTCTGAACCTCCCTTGTTTCAGCTTATGTCTGTTGTCCTCCTCTCATGTGCCACTGTGTAGAGCCTGCCTTCATCATCCTCATCTTTCTTGCAAGTAGTGGAGGTCATTATCAGATCCCCACCAAAGCTCTCCCTTCCCCAACCCTGGACCCTCAGCCTCCCCTCCCATGCCATGTGCTCCAGTGCCATGACCATCTTGGTGGCCCTTCACTGGCCTCACTCCCATGTGTCCCTGTCTCTCTTGTATTAGGGGCTGAAACCCAGATGCTATATCCAGGCGTGCTGTCATCAGGGCTGAGCAGAGGGGAAGAATCCTCTCCCTTGAGCTGCTGTCAATGCTGTGACTAATGGAGCCCAAGGGGCTTTGGCCTTCTTTGCTGTAATGATGCACTGCTGGCTAATGGTCAACCAGGTGTCCACCAAGACCCTCAGGTCTTTCTGCTGGACTTGGTATTTGTCCTTGATGAAGTTCAAAAATACCCTTGAAGTATCAGGTGAAGGAGAGAGTGACCAGCCAGAAGATGCCTCATGGGCTTGCCCTAGTCAAATGGATTTTTACTCTGAAATGGTTTGAAAAGTTCCTTCCAGGCCCTACCTGTGTCTTAGGAAGTCTGCTTATTTGGGATGTTGGGATGGCTGGAAGCTCAGGCATTTGACGCAGCTTAGGCCCGTGAAATAACACATAACAGCAGAATTGTATCTCACAAGGAAATCTACATCATCCAGTGCAGGGAGAGAACTTGTGCGAGCACTGAGGACATCATCCAGGACTTTTCCTGACAGTGCTTCATTGCAGACCCCTCAGAAGTCAGGGGCTTCTCTCTGGTGGCCACAGTACCGTCAAGTGGGAAGGGAGACTGTGTCCTCTCAGGCCTTGGGGGTCCATTTGGCTGCCTAGTGAGATATCCCTCAACACACATCTTGTTTGTGCAGCCTTTCTGAGTAATCTGGGGCCACATGCTTGTGTGTGGCAAAGAGCTGGGCTTCTGGTGGTCTGGACTTCTCTGCCCTTGCTTGCTGGTTGATTCCCCTCATTATGCAGGGCTAAGCAGACCCTCAAAGCCAGTTTGGTGTGGGTTATGTTTGGCCCAGGATCTGTTAGTCATCTTCCTTTGCCATGTGCAAGTGTGTTTGGAAATGGTCATCACCTTTGGTTGAGCCAAGGCAGAATAACGTTCTTCTCCATTAATTACCCAAGGGATGACAGTGTCTTTAAAGGCCATATGAAATGAAACATGTAGGAAGATACCATTTGTTTTCTGTGGATGAAGACAAAGACCCCCTTGGCTCCTTTGACAGGGATCTCCCATTCTTCCCCAGCTTACCACAGCAGCCGTGCAGGGTTTCACCCTCACCATAGAAAGGTCCCCCTCAGACCAGAGTATTTATTCCCAGGACTTCCCCACCCCAGGGCTGCTCATTCATCTCCCGCAGACAGAGCGGAGCCTGTCACAAGAGCAGATGCAGAGCGGGCAGAGCTCCCCATGAGATCCTTCACCACCAGAGATGATAAACAGATGGGGAAATCTGCTGGGAAATGCACTGACGTAAGAAGTAGGTGAGAGGCTGGAGCACTGTCCCCGGGGAGGTGGAAACATGCTGAGAAAGCTGGATGCAGAGACCAGCGCACAATGGCTCTTTGATTCTCCCAGACAGAGAGCTGCTAATGGACCATTTCCTCTCCCAGCCCTCCCTGCAGGTCGGAGATGTCTTGCCCTTGTGTTATCTCTCGCCCTGACTTCTCTCTGGGATTTCCTCTGACCCCCTTCAGCAAACTGCTGGGCTCCAGTCATCCCGGCCTAGCATCCCTCGTAGCATCCATCTGTCACCAGAGCTGCTATGGCTGGAGGCACTGCTCCGCAGAGGATAATAACCTACCACTGACACACGTGTGCGGAGCATAGCCCCATGGAGGAACCTCAGCATTCCCATCCAGAGGGAGGTGGGCTCAGGCACTTCTCCAGGCCCTGAGTCTGACCTGACAGCCCTCTTTGGAGGGGTTCTAACACCAGGGCTGCACCCCACTTCAGCAGTCCTTCTCAGAAAGACAAAGCAGTCCCTACAATTGCCATCTGTGCAATTACGTGTGTTTTGCACAATATACCTCTTGCTTTCCCTCTGAAAAATAAATGGGAGTGGTCATCTTCCAGGAGAGCGGTGCCTCGCAGAGCAGCACACCCAAGAAATTCATCCCTGCGGCATCTGTGTGCTGAGCTGGTCTTTATTATTAAACTTTAATTACCAGGGATGAATTTTAATAGAGAAACTGTATAATTCCACTTTGCATCCCAGCCCCAAGGCGAGGTCACCAGCATAAGAGTCCCTAATGATGCGGTGAGGGTTTCTTTGGCTAATGAAACAAAAATTCTCACTGGATTTGGAAAAGCAGGAAACAATTTGCCCCAGGGGAAGGGGAGGCAGAAGGCTGCCAGAGATGCAAAGCTGCTGGGAGGCTCTGATGTCCAGACATATATTGCTGTTTGAAATGCTTAATAGTGAGCCACAGTACAAAGCCCTTTCTTTATTCATTTCTCTCCCTAGCACTTCACAGCATGCAATAACTTGGATTTATAAATTAAACATGCTCCTTGTTTTTATGTATCATCTACTTCATACTCTACAGTCCCATAACAGGATTTTTAATTGCCTGTTATAGAATCATGCATCGTCCTTGCAGTCTGGGAGCGTGAGTGTAACGATGAGTTCATTGGCTCATGTCAGTTCTAAATAGTGTATTTAAATCCTCACATTAACACGAGCAAGGAACATGAGCGGGAACATAGGAACATCCAATCGTAATAAAGGAGAATTGGTTTTTGTGTAAAAAAAACTGGGGAAAACCAGACCAGAAAACCAATCAGATTTCTTTTTCTTTCTTATCCACCCCAAAGCAAAAGGCATTGCAGTGTTTTAATTATTGCTGGGCTTATTTTCAATTTATGCATATCCAACAGCTTGAAACAGATTAGAGTCTAAAGAGGCTGAGGCAGGGGGCTAGAAGGCCCACTCCAAGGGTGGCCATACACCCGTGATCTGCTGTTTAAATTGGACCATCCAGCTCCAGCCCCCTGTCTGGCTTCATTCACTGCAAGAGCCGTGGCTGCTCTCCCCTGATCCTGTGCTCAGCAATGTTAAACCCACACAGTGAACACCGTGTGCTGCTCCAGACTCTATACCCCAAAGCAGGTGTGCTGGGGTGAAAAAGGGACAGGAAAAGGCTGCTGGATGGTTAATAGGGATGGAGCAGCTGCCCTACTGCAATTTAATGTGATTTCCTTTTGCAACACTCGAATATCTGCTCTTTGTAAGAGTTGGCTGTATTATAGAGCTTTTATCACAGCTTGTCCTTCCTGACAAAATAAAGTTAAATCCTTTGACCTTTCTACTTTTTCATATCTTATTTTTTTTAATTAATTAACGTCTTTTTCAAAGTGTATCCTAAGTAGGAGACTTAGTGCAGCCGAGAGCTTATCAGCATGGCAGAAAGGCAGCCTCTTCTGGCTTAAACACACAACAGTCCTGTTATTGCATCCTAGAAAGAGATTTGCTGCTTTCTGCTGGTGTTTTCCCAATGACAGATTTCTCATCCCCATCCTTTTGTGATTTGCCATACCTCCTCTCTTTCTTCTGTGCTGACACCTGATAAGAGCTCCCCAGTGGGAGCTGCACATTTGATATCATTCCTCTAAGGGACACAGTTTGTGCTGTTATTTATTGGATTTCATCTTGTTCGATTCAGGCTTTTTCTACAGTTTTTCGAGGTAATTTTGAATTCTTATCCAGTCCCCCTGGGTGCTTGTGTTCGGCACGGGATGCATATTTTAGACATGCATTCCCCAGGCTATCATTCAAGTCAGTAAGTATAAAATATTGAATAGAAGCTCCTTTATGCTCTATCCAGGAGGACACTGCTCAGAATCTCCTCCTTGCCTGGCTGAAAACCATCAGCAGTGACTCCAAGTGTCTTTTATTCAGTTGTTCCTTAATTTAAGAGAACTTGTGAGATGTCAGGTGGGACAATTCCAAAAGCTTTACCTAAATCGCAGCACTTTTCAGCTGCCCAAGAGAGAACCTCAGCTGAGCATTACTTTGGGTTAAACATTTTATTTCTGACAAATTCACCTTCTCTTCTTATCCCCATATTCTCCTCTGGCTTTGTATCAACTGTTTGTTTAATCATTTGTTCTGGAAGTTTTCCAAGGCTCAAAGTTAAGTTTTTAAGGTGTATAATTCCCACTCCTTAAAGAGAGATATTGTTCTTGCCTGTTTCTGCCCCTCAGGTCTTTTCGTAGCTCAGGGTGTCTGGGCGAAGCATCGCAATTGCTTTCTCTGCTCACCTCCACCTCTTTGATTAACATGTAATTTAAGTGATTCAGCTGGTGACAAGGACCCTTTTTAGTGAACACAGCACTGGCCCTTTCTGAGTCATCCATTGGTTACTTTTTCCTCTTTCTTTTCCTTCTGACGTATTTATAGATCTATTGCCTTCCCACCCTTGTTAGCAGAAACTCATTCATGCCTTCTCACATGGTTTTGCAATAGGGCTGTTTTGGCTGCAAATACGTAATGAACTCCCACAGTTCCAGACTCCCTCTGCCCTGGGTTTGCAGCAGGACCACTGGTATTGGGGTCTGTGGTTGTGTTTTCTGTCTTCCTCCCTGCAGGATAAACCTCCCAGTGCCTTTAGGGCTCTCCCCTGCTGTGCCGACGCTCCTGCTTACCCAGGAGCTACACACGGCTTCCCCACGTGTGTTGAAATCAGCCAGTTCGGGTTCAGTGTCCCTCTGCCCTTGCTCTGGCCACTTCCTGTTTGTGAGAAGAATGAATTCTGCCACTCTGTGATCACTGTCCTAGAAATCGCTCTCCACTCCAGTTCCCAGCATCAACTCGTGGTCACAGTCCAGTCTATGTAGTTGTTTGTCCATCTGAGCTGAAACTTTATCCCCGGCAGCCTAGGGACCTGGTGGACTGTCTCTTCCTGTCTTGTTTCCAGTTATTGGTAATTAAAATAACATCTTTCACTCTGACTGTTCATGATAATTGGAAGAACATCTTCTACCTCCTCCTCACATCTCCTGCCATGGCCACATCCCAGGCTCAGCCGCATGTCCTCCCATCATGGCCTTCCTTTCCTCTGCTCTTCCCAGATTACCTCTGTAAGGACATAAGTAGGTTTCTGTGCTGTGAGTTCCTTGTGCATAATGTCACCATTGTGTCTGTGCCTTAGGAATTCACATTGTACTTATTTATTCCCTAGGCTCTTGGGGGATGTTGTAGAGACATTAATAGGTAGATGCTCTGTTGCCTTTTTCTCTTTGTCAGCTCTCCCTTAAACCAGCACAGTAATTTCTCAAAGAAAAGTGGATCCTCCCCCCGTCTCCCATATTTATGTACCTCTGCCCAGGGCAGGTGTTTCTCAGCCACCAGAATCTTCATCCCCAGCCAGAGCTGGCCAGGATGTCTCACACTGCTTGTCCCAATGACTGTGGAGGCTGAAGGTTGAATGCTCTTTGTCAGGGGTGAGGGCCACACACCTCCTGGCTTTGATGCCCCACTGGTGTCCAAGCCCACTGAGCACTCTTCACTTCCATTGCCCTCCGAAGAGCCCTGAGCACCTCCAAACCCCACCAGCACCAGGGTCTGCGGCTCACAGATTTCAACTTCCACCCAAACCAGCAGGTCAAGCCAACCTGCAATGCAAGCAAGAGATCCAGGATGGAGAAGCGGAGTACCTAAAATGAAAATTGGGTTCTGAGATTGGCAGCAAACAGTTCCAGAAAGTGTTATAAGTAACTGTGAGATGCTGCTGCAAATATTGCTGGCTGAAACAAGAGACTTGAGCACCTTTTCTCTGGTTTTGTTCTGCAGTCCAAGATTTTATTTACTGTTCATCACAAAATAGAGCCCTTCCTCCTTCCCCATTTTGTGTTGAACTAACAGTGCTATGTCTCTCCTGCCACTGCAGTATTAGAAAAAACTGGGTCATGCATACAATTCTGCAGAGGGAAACAAAAGGCCATTATGCCCCTGTTGAATCTCATATTTATGGATGCTGTGGCACATTATGGTAATTCTCGCTTGAATCCAGCATTTAATTCATAGCTAATAATTTGGTGGTGGCATTTTTACATGCAGATTTGGAGAGAGATTCATGACACAGTGGACAAGACAGTAAAATATGATTTACACATAAAACTGCTTCCAGACTTTCCAAGACGCCAGATTCCCACCTCCGCTTTGCCTTCTGGCTGTTCACACACTCCCTCATTTTGGAGGGTGCTGTTGATAACTAATTCTTTTCTCTTTCTGTATTCCGTCCCATTTTTAAAAGATACAGTGTGTCTGCATGTGGAACTGAGTGGTTGATGAATTTATTAGATGTGTAACGTTGACATCTGTGCCGTACTCATAGAGGGACAATTTCAGTAAGGTAGTAAATTGTGGAGGTGCAGAAACATGCTTGCATATACTTGTTTATGGGTTATACATGTCAGTTCTATAGATGTTCATGTACAAAGTGGTGAAACTAAACTCAACTTTGGCTTGATGAATAGGCTGAAATCACCAGGAGTGCAAACTGGTATAAATCTATTGGTTTCTGTCATATTTTAATGTTTCTTTGTGCTCCTCTGTACATTTAGCCGAGTATTGTCTCTTATACCTACACGCAGTAGCTCATCGCAGTAGATCAATCTCAGG